CACCGGCGGAGAGTTCTGTAATTCGCCAAGTTTAATTAAATCACTTTTATATCACATCTTTATTTGCTTTCAAAGGTGACCATTTTAAAGTGAAAATCACTTTCTCTCGAGTAAGGTAAACATGGTTATATCCTCCTTCTAAGTTTATCACCGTGGATCAAATTAACATGCTAATTTTATACTCATCTATAATGGTTAAATTATGAAGAATAAAACCGAGTACACTGGCAGAGATAACACAATACCGTGTTTTACTTGGATATCGACGCTTTGGCTAATTTTGACCTAAATATTGTATAAATTGAACCAGACGAAATTCAAAATTGTTTATACCTTCATAATGTTTATACCTTATACAGAAGATTACCCTAACGTAGAGCACTACTGCTAAACGAAAGCTGCGCGAGAAATCTTGATCCATCTGAACTGAAAAGCCCTTCATACCGTTTACCGAGACCGAGATGTGCAAAGTATTGTGGGCTGCCTTTCGTTTTCTTAAGTGACCTACAAATTGTATTTTTAGCTGCTACGATTTAAAAGTTAGGTGTTGAGTCACTTATGCTACAGTCTACGACCAGTCAAGTCTAACAACTGATTTTTGGAGCTAAGATAGGAATACTAGAAGTATTATCAAATCATTAAGAGAGACTATTTGTATGTTGTTAGAATGGCAACCTTTGTGCGAGCTCAAATTAGATTTGAAGGGGTTTCGTGTACCGGCTGTTATATTGTATTTAAAGTAAATGATAAAAACAACGATTAAAAAGTAATCAAGTCTGTAACTAAACAATAGAGAGCTCTCTTCGCCGTCGCAAGGAAAACATAATTTGAAAACGGCAAGGTTCTTAAGAGTTAAGCGTCGCCGAATTGTCTATTTTCACAGGTTTATGTCGAGAAAGTAAATAAACGGGATTAGGGCGGTGCATATAATTTTACGTGAGATGATTTTATATGAGATGTATCAAGAGTTCGTTTTTATTGCGTCTTCACGCTTTTCGTTACCGATATTTTGTTTAATCGTTGCCGTACGCCTCACGAATTAAAAAAGAAATTATATATTTATTATGGCTCTGAAACCGTAAAAACTTTTTACTCTGTACCCTGAGGCCTTCCATAACCCAAACGAGAAAACACGCCACGGCAAATTTAGAACAATACTTACCTCAAATATGTCCATGGCAGATGTGTTCATATTTCTTTCCACAGCATTAGAAATACTTCGTTTTATTCCAGCGGATACCGAGGCTCTTCCAAAATGTGCTACACTGCTGTTACTCTTTGAATCCAAAACTCTCATACCAAAATCCGTTGCCTCGTATTCCCCTAGGTTAATAGGACCTAAATCGTCTATTAAATTCAAAGAACTCCCGTCCATTATTCTGAAAAAGAAGGAGAAAGGTAGAAGTCTTTCTTACTCGTAAAAACATTCGGAAAATCCTGGTTGACGAATTGGCAGTGCACTCTACAAAGTAATTATGACATGCAATATTCTCTGTACCGCATTAACTGACATAAAACAACCACTAACCGTCGTCGAGAGCGCTTCATGTCTATAAAATAAAAGCACTCTTCAAAATTTAATGACATCATTGTGTTGCAAGTCCAGCGGAGATGATTGCAAATGTCATTTCCTATATTTTCCTTTTTCCATTTACGATAGTTTAAAATAAGATGGAATCTATTTACATATGAAAACACTGACGAACCAAATTGCTAAAAATGGTGTGGTGTCAATTCAGGTAAGGTCATAAAAAAAAAAAATAAAAAAAAAAATAGCGCATTCATTACAACGCTTTTACATTTTGCATAAAATGTACTTATATTAAACAAAGACCACGACCCTGTAATCAACACCAGCGGGTTAGTTATTGCAAATTTATGTTCTCACGAATCTCAGGAGCCTCAAAACGGCATGAAAATCAAAATTGATATCGTTCACTTAAGCCACGCTTTCAGTCAAAAGTGACATAATACGTTAGACGATTAAACTCTGCATGCGTTTTATTTATTTTTTATTTTGTGATATTCGTCAACATTTAGTATAGATTAACGGCTTTAATGTCATCAGGAAAAGCGGAACGTCCACGGTAGTCTTCCTGTGGAGAAGTTATTCCATATATTGAAATAACAAGAGGAAATAAAAAGGCAAACAGAACTGAAAGAGTTTAACGAATGATTACAGTACATCTTTAAGCGCAAATCAAGTGACAGAATTTAAGTATTTTTTATCATCTCGAACATGCTTGTTTCTTAGACAGAGAGAGATTTAAGGAAAAAAACTAAATCATCTTGAAATCCTCAAAATTACTTTTTGCTCAGTGTAAAACCACCTGGACTTTCGGTGATATTTGGAACAATGAATAATCTCTAAGAGGTGTCAGAGCAATTTAAATTTAGGTGCCACTAGACGATTAGTAGAAGCTTAGGGTTAGATGTATATTTGGGGTATGTTTTGAAACAAACCACGCGTTCGGTAACAGCGATTCAAAGGCGATACAGCTGTTTCGAAAAAATCCCGTTGGACTTACATGTAAAAATATATAAGAAAACCGTGAACAACTTGACAATTAATTATTATCAGCAATATTATTTTGCAGTGATGCATAAATTTGGATTGTGTACCATTGCCAAAATGTACGTTGCATGCCACTTGCAGCAGGTGGATCCAAGATACTGTCAATTTTATCCAGCTCAATTAACCCTTAATTGATTACCTTTTTACCACAGAGCTACTGAACCTTTGTACTTAATTCTCCCAAAGCAATGTCATTTTTCGTGACGTTTGCTTCAGATGACTTGCACACAAAGCATTCTGCCAAAAGCTAATACTGTACGTTTGTAATGTCATAGGTACGTATCACGAAATATTGGCCCTTTCTTAAGTGCGTCTGGATCTCAGCGTCATATGTCTTGAAAATAGATTTTTCTGACATTTAGTTAAAACTGAAATAATCCAAACCGATTGAGGCCATCTTGTAGCCTTGATTATATCACATAAATTTTCAATTTTGTCATATTGAGATGTTTCGGTTAAGTGCCCCTGAGGGACTCTCCTAGGACTTGATTGTCAATTGACTAATCAAAAATACACTAAAAACAATTTTTCGTCTTGTATGTAAGGACAAAAGGCTATGTTTTTGTTAAAAACAAGCTTTCCCGTAGTAACTGAAATACTCTAAAGTGAAAAAACAATTCTTGCGTGAAGCAAGCACATTCAAGTTTTTTAACCATAGGCGAACACAGACGCAATCATTGCGTCAGAACTATGCGCAATCATTGAGTCAGAACTATGATTTGGTGCATAGTGTCTGTTCTAGAGACAAAATCGCGAGAGAGCCCCACAATTACATACAGTTTAAATTTATATCTAGAAATTTCTTGAATTACTGCTTGACTCCTCAAAGCTAAACGGTGAGACGACTGGAACACACTCTACAGCCGGTAAATTACAGCTCGTCTACGACTAACTTATTATAAGCAGTTTATTCAATTCAAGTTCAACCTGGACAAGACGTATCGCAAATACCGCCGTTATGGCCTTCTATAGGCACAAATACTTTCACGCTTTAGCTAATGTCAATGCAATGCTCAGCCGCATTGTACAAAATCTGAGTTGAAAGCGGTATAAATACGCCACAAAGATCGAGAGATCTGTTGCATCAGCATTTTAAACAAAATATGAAGTTTAAAGCGCTACCGAATAAGTTAAAGTAAAATTGGCTCCAGGATTCGAAAAAGAAAGATATCTGTCATCTTACAATAACTCATAAACCTTACAAACTTTTAAAATTAACTATATCAGAATTGAATAAGCTCCTGTGTCATTGTCAACAGCTGGCCGCGGGTCTGATTAATCTTGCCAATTCATTATCCGTAACTTTGATTATTCGAATGAATGCAAAAGCCATAAAACCAGCAATGACAAACGATACACCGCAGCCGTACTTAAAGGAAATAATCTTTACTTCAAGACTTTTCATTTTCGCTCATCAGTCTCGGTCAATGTCGTTGTAATGATGATCTTTACAATTCAGCTGTTCCACTGGTGTAGATGACATATTAACAAGTCGGCCATCTGAGTACATAATCATTACAACAAATTTACCAGCTGAGTAACGAAAGTATCCTTTACCTTGATCTGTCGTTGGTACGTCCAGTCTACAAATTGTTTCTTCTAATAGCAGTACACAAGGATTAATTCCAACAACCTTCAGCCTTCTTAATTCCGCAAATTTTCCGTATCGGCGATAGAGAAGTGAAAATGAATGCCTGGGCTAATATTCGTGACCTTGCATACGTAAATTGTTTATTCAAGCTTGATGTTCAACTTAGAGAACGCTGTGGTAGGTCATTTCAAGATAATTTTACAGACTCATCGTCGCATTTCTCAAAACTTTCCCACAGTTCTTCCTTAAAAAAAAATAAATTCGCGTTCATGACAATGAAAATCTAGGATGAAAACCTCCGCATGGAGGTTTTAAGCAAATAGATGCGATAGTCACCGAAGATCTCTCAACGACAGCCGGAAGTTTGCTCTTTTGTGGACGGAGACACAGAAAAGGAGACACAAAGAGGGAGAAAAAAGAGAAGGAAGAAGAAATAGAAGAAAAACGAAAGACAACAATATCCAATCCTCCTCATCGAAAAAAAAAATTTTATCACTGCCAAGGATTAATTTATTGCTTGGCAAAACATAATTCCACAAATTGAATAGTCCATGTACTTTCGCGAGAATAATAGTGTCTTTCTTCTGTTTTGTTTTTAACTCTGTTTGTTCAGTTGGTTATGTGTGTTCTCTATGTATGATTCCATTTCTGTTACACTACAGGAAAAAAAAAACTTTTCTTGTAACAGAGGAAGTCACTTTACCGTTTACTCAAGTCCAACGTTTCTTGCTCAAAGACAACTTTCAGTAAACTTTCTCCTTCAATCCGTTTAAATGCACACAACTTCAATAAGTGAAAAAAAAAAAAAAAGAACAAAACAAAACAAAAAAAACAGGTTTCAAGTGATAACGTACACACGTGTATCACGTGCCTCTACAGTAGAGAACCTACATGTAAGTACATACATACATGCGGTCCAAAATTTTAAAGTCAGTGTAAGTTTGATTTTGTTTGTGTCTTATCCGACAAAGGAGAACAAACTAAGAAAAAATTGGTTTGAAAAAATTGCAAAACGGGAAGAATTTATAAACAACATGTACAGCGAGTCCCTTTCAGAGACTTGGTTTTATTTAGGTCTATCGGATGACCCAGCATGTCTTGTAGACTGGCCCTACTTTCTTTGTCTCTGCAGAGTGTCTGACACTACAAATTCAACATATACATGTAGAGTTCTTCTTCTTCAGAGAACCACAGAGAGTCACTACTTGATATTGTTTCAGGCTTGTAAAACTGGCCCTGCTCTTTTTGCCTCCAATTGTGTGCCTGCACCAGCAAACCCTGTTCCTCCACGCTGCAGTGGAATGATGTCACTTTCTTTCAATTTCAAGCCAGTAAATGGGCACAGCATGTCTTTCTTAATTAGCTTCTCAATGCAGTCCATAGTCACCACATTTCCTGTGTTCTTTAAAACTGCACAGGGAACAGAATTACCAAGTGCATCATGAGTAACAGCACACTTGTACCTTTCAGACTTTGCCACCATTGGTCGGTCATCACCATCGTCTATCGGTGTTAGTTTGACTGCAATCAGATCCTTGATTCTCAGAGGTTTACTACTCATGGGACAGTAGGTTTTTGTATCTGGTTTCTTCAAAAGAGTGGGTTTAGCTTCAGGTGTCAAGGATGGGACCCAAAAACTTTGAAGATTTTTATCATTGCCACCTGAGCCACCTTCAAAAGAATAAAGCCAAAATATTGTTCCAAGTTAAAGCCTAAACTAAAAAAAAAATTAGGAAATGTTGTTCTTTTCTGCAAGACACAATGGTACAGTAAGTGACTTAGACCATATCCCATATCTAATGATGTGCAAATTCAGTCCTGGTAGAGGTTCCCGAAGAAATTATTTACTTATCAGATTATTTTCTCTGTTTGGTGCAAAGTACAGTAAACAGAAGCTAATTGACCCACTGTGCCAGGTCTCTTCCAGGTCTCTGTATTATGAAGCATCTAAAAGTATTGCAACCCTCCTAATTATTTCAGATGTCAGCCTACCGATGGCAACCCCTAGCACTGTGTCAGCTTTTTCTGACCATTCACTGGTAAACATTAACAATCACTGGGTAGATGTTGATTACAGGAGAAAGTTTTTGAAATATGTATCGTCAATTTCAAATTTGGGGTTTAAAAAAATTTAAATTTGGCAAAATGAAGATAAAAGTTGGTGATTACTTGAACCCTATGTAAAATTTAGTCTTTCAGTTTTCTGTTGCTGGTTTTTATTCAGTTTAAAATTATTAAACTAAATATATTTTGCTGGTGGTAAATAGGCATTAGATAGAGAGGTGTCCATAACTTGTTTATTTTAAGGTTTACCACTTATACCCTTTACATTCTAACATCTGTATGCATATTCTCCCTACTGATCTCAATATATTTCCTAAGGTGTTAATAAGAAGAATTTGTTTGACGATCAGGAGCTTCTTGAGTTGGTGATCATTTCCTTTTGGGGAATGCTATTCACGCTTAGGGATCTTAGGGCTACAGAGATGTGCACAAAGATTCGATTGCCATGAATATGTAAAAAAGATACTTTGAAGATTTTTATCATTGCCACCTGAGCCACCTGGGCCACCTTCAAAAGAAAATGTAAAAAAAAAAAAAACTTCTCCCCAACGACTCTATTTTCTTACCACTAGAGGTAGATGGTTGCTGTTCATCAGCGACAGCAGACGATCCATTGACACTTCTATCTTTTGATGCAGTGAATGCACTCGTTGGTTTTGTGGTAAGTCGCTTCTCCATATTGACAAACGATTCAACTTTGGATTTCTCTTTTTCCTCTACCTTTCCAGCTTCTTCAGCGTCTTGCTTCTTCTTCTGCTTTTCAAAAGCTTTCATTTTCCTGGCAGCTTCGGTTTTCTGATGTAACAAACACTCTAAAATTGCCTCTCTGTCGTACAAGAACCCGTCTGGTGTCACAACTGGTTCACGACAAGGTTGTAGTGTTAAACAGCAGCAATCGAAGTTCTTTACAGAATCTCTGCCAAGGCGCACAGATTTACTGCCATATCCAGACTTTTTGGTGTCCTTCTTTCGCTCGTGATAAGTGTAAACCGTTCCTGCCGTGCAGTTTTTAGCGTGTCTAGTCATTGTACTCACTAAACAAGGATGGCGAGTTTAGTTTAGTGATGACTAAGCAACCAAGCTATTTCGTAAATTCTCGGCCAGGCTGCGAAGCCTAAATAATTTCACTAGGGAGAGGTGAGGAAAATAGTGAGAACGAGTTTCGACGTTGATTTTCATCGACGTTCACGTATAAAAATCATATAGCCTGCTGATGAGAAATATTTTTCCTAAAAATATCTGCATACATTTATTAAAAAAAAATAATTGTTCTGAATTCAATAACACAAGTTTTAGAGTAACTGCCATACCCCCACTCTACCCCGCTTGTTCTCACTCATCTCGACCAAGATGGCTTCCAGAAGGTTGTTCCATATCGCACGAGGATTGTATGGCCTGCGATCAGTGCAGCCATCCCGTCCGGCCGAACTTGTTAGAGCGTACTGCTCAGGTAAGTTTTGAGTTTCTTCCTCCAAGGATCTCGCTTTTGTCAGATGTACTTTACTTGCTCGCCAAAAAAAAATTTTTAAAAATACAGAAACCCCATCCGCGCGGAATACCGTGGGACTAATGGGTTCAGCAGATTTGGTTTTAATCAGCTTTACCCTTTAGCCCCTGAGAATGACTAGCATGTTATTTCTTACAAAGGTATTGGAGCTGAATCAAACATTAGGCTCATGAGAATTAAGGAAATGATCGCAAACATGAAAAGCTGTTGATTTTGAACCAAATTCTCCTCGGTAATGCCATGGTAAATGTATAAAGAACAGTATGGAGAATATAAATGCTGATGTTTGGTTGTGGAGGTTCAGTGACTTTCTCTTTAAGAGTCAAGTTGTTTGGTGAATTGTTCATCTAATCTGAACATAAGTTCATTCATAATTAGCAACAGTAATTAATAGTTTCCAGTTATTGCAGTAGCTATAAAAGTTTTGTGGGGTTGTGAAGTGGGGAAGGGGGATTAAATAAATGTCTGAATAAATGACTGTACGTATATGAACCAACAGGAAGCAGGTCACTAGGTTGGATTCAAATAAACCCTTCAAGTGGTGAATACATGACTGTAAATATATGAAAATCATATATTACATATTAACATCATTTAGTTGGTAGAGCGCAGCACCGGTATAGCAGAGGCCATGGGTTCAAATCCTGTACAGGCCTGAATTTTTTCAGGCCTTAATTTTAACTTCTAATTAATTAATTAAGTTAATTAACTGCAAGGATTGCTTCTTTACTCATAAATGTCTTAATGTCTTTGTTTGTGTCTGTTCATTTGTTGTTTTGTTTGTTTGTCTTTTTTTTTTTATTTCTGGAGTCTCAGTTTCTGGACTATAAACTAAACTAAGAATATACAAGCATTATTCCTACCCTATAACTCCCAGAGGTGATAAACATCCAACTTCTCTCTATGGTATCCATGCATTTTACACCAAACAGGTAAGGAGAATACTCAAACTTATCAGGTAGAAGTTCCTTCCTTGATCCAACACCAAATTCTTGTAACTAATGTACAAGGAAATCTGTAGCAGTCAGAAGGGAGAATTAACAATCAGATTTTGGGAGTTCAAAGGTTAAGAGGTGTATGTACACATGTACCAAACAATAACATTTGAAGTGAATTATTTCTCGAGAATAAACTTCATACTTTTCTCAATTTATTGTTAGCATCAAAAACATTTGAAATGATCAAGGCAGAGAAAAGGGGTGAAAAACAAAACGTTGGCTTTATCCAGCTCAACCGACCCAAGGCATTAAATGCACTCTGTGATCAGCTGATGTCAGAGTTGCAGGATGCCCTTGATGACTTTGAAACTGACAAGAATGTTGGTGCCATTGTTATCACAGGAAGTGAGAAAGCGTTTGCTGGTAAGTGAAAAGAAAAACAAGAGGAAAGTCTTAGAGGTGTATTGTACCTTCAAGGGTGTAGTAAAGGGGGTCCTGGGTGCCAATAACCCCTTCTCCATTTTGTAAGCCTTTTTTTAAGCAAAACACAGCATGGGGGTTGATGTGACATTTTGATGAGTACTCTGTTTGACACAATGTGACCCCCTTTGAAAAATCCTGGCCATGCCCTTGATCTTATAACATTAGTTACATGGTCAAATACTAAACAGGGCTTTTTTAATCGTCATATTCTTTGATTTTTGCAGGATGTATGACCATATCATTTTAATCCTTTCAATTAAGAAAAATTTTTATCTTGTGTAGGACTTAAATATTATTGGTTACCTTTGGTTTACTGCTGTGGTATTAGCAGTGAACTAGGAATATGTTTAGTTATGGTTGACTGAAATGTTCAAACTTTTCTTAATCCAAATTGAATTCAAATACAAAAACCTTCTGATGTTCCTTGCCCACATGGATTTGATCTGGTGTATGAAGTTTTGTTATCAAGAGAAAACTTTTTAAAGTTTATTGTCATATCTTTTTACAATTCAAGTTGATTTTTTATCAATGAATAAAGGGGAATTTCTAAAGGAACTGTGGTGCTGCTTTGGTGGTAGAGTATAACAGGGTAATTAAGTAGTATCAACTGAGTTGAATCTGAGCAAATTGCTCTGAAGAAGGGCAATGCTCAAAACATCACCTTTGATACTCTTTAGGGTGGCCAATTTATGCTATCAACTAAGTTGATAATACTAAATTACCCTGATTTTTGATTTGCTTTGCAGTGAATTTTATACTCTTAAAGCGAGCAAAGTATAGTCAAGAATTTTCTTTACTCCCATTATAGCTGGAGCGGATATTAAGGAAATGCAGAATTTAACATATCAGAAGTGCTTGTTGGGGGATTTCCTCGCTCACTGGACTCGAGTGGCTCGTTGTAAGAAGCCCGTCATTGCTGCAGTCAATGGATTTGCGGTAAGACTAAAGAGAGATTGAGTTTTCTCCAGGGCTGCTATATAATAATTATATATGAATGGGATGCCAGTAGTCTCAGTTATTGGTGCAAATCACCAGCTCAGTGCTCAGATTGTCCAATAATCAAGAGATTATTTTGTAGCTGTCACTGTTTCATTAAGGGTGACAAACAAATTTTTTTTTTTTTGTTGCATAATTGAAGTCTATTGTACAATACTTTCTTCACAGCTTGGAGGAGGATGTGAACTAGCCATGATGTGTGATATCATTTATGCTGGAAACAAAGCTAAGTTTGGTCAACCAGAGATTTTGCTTGGAACTATTCCAGGTGTGGCACACATATAAATTACCAATAGAAACAAATTTATCAGTTTGCACTTGTAAGAAGAAAATATATTCCACTGACCTTGATTAAATATTAGAGAGCAGAAATAAGCTACAGGATAGCAGATGAAGAAAATGAAAATGATGTCTTCTCCTTTCCAAGATTTTTCTATACTTCTTAAGAGTATTAGTCATTAGCCCCTTTACACCCAAACATCAGTCTACAAGTTCTCCATACTTTTCACCATACATTTCCTAATGTGCTGACAAGGAGAATTTGTTTAACAATCAAGAGCTTCTTTAGTTGGGGATCATTTCCTTTATTCTTGTGATCTTAATGTGTGATTCAGGGGTGATGTTGTGAGGAGAAACTAAATGCTAATCACTCTTTGGGGTCAAAGAGTTAAAATTTTCTTTAACTTAAAAAAAAAGTGATATGATTTGGGGAAGTAAAGACTCGTAATCAGGAAAGATCATAGGAGTAAGATGGCTTTTTTATGAAATGGATATTTCTTTATTCTAGACTCTCTTATATTGCTGCTTTTATGTTCTTTAACCCTTTAACTCCCATGACAGGGCGTGAAATTAACTTTTTTTTCTGATAGCCACTTGGCTCCTAAATTCTTCAAAGTAGTAGCCAATTCAAAAAAAGTTGGTCGCCATTTTCAAAGACAAACAAGACCTTTTTTTACGCTGTCAGCGTTCTAGATAGACCCTCCAAAATTATGTTAGGGAAAAGAACTTTGACGTGCCACAAAGTGGACACTAGAAAGGATGATATACAAAGTTCAGGCTCATCTAAATCCAAGATGGCGTCTAGTTATCGATCGAGATGCATGTGCTACATTTTGGAAACAAACTTAACGAGGAAGTTTGCCGCGGATTTATCTTAGCAAATCTTTTTAATTCACTATATTATCTCTTGGTAAGGTTATGATGAAATGTTGTAGTCGCCAATTTGGCGACTAACTTTCAGGATTTGGTCGCCAAAGTGAAAAATTTAGTCGCATTGGCGCCTGTATTAGGCGCAATTTCACGCCCTGCAGACAGAATTTCTCTTTACACTATCAATACAAAATTAACCAGATAAGGGGTGAGAATAATGAAAAATTTCAATTTGGGGATAATTAGTTGACCCAATATTAAATTCCTGAAACTAAAATTATAAGAGTTGTATGGTTGACAATAAGTAAAATTACAACTGTGTCAAGTTTAAATTTAAGTTTGTGCTTAAAGTTGCAACTAACTCGAAGATTGCTTTCATTTTTTTAGGTGCTGGTGGTACACAGCGACTTCCAAGAGCTGTTGGGAAGTCTCTGGCTATGGAAATGATACTCACAGGAGATCCTATTTCAGCAGAAGATGCACAGAAATCAGGTCCATGTTCCTTTCAACTTAGCTCCTATTTTTGACCAGTTGTTCATCATAACCTCTTTACCTTACAAAATTGATCAACATGCAACTTCTCCCTGTAATAAATATACATCATCCAGCAAACGGATAATGAGAATTTTGAACTTATCAGTTCAAATTTGTTATTGATCTAACGTCAAATTCTCGTAACTAATTAAAAAGGAAATGTGTAGCAGCTAGAGGGGAGAATTAACAATCAGATCTTGGGGGTTAAAGGGTCAAGGAGTGAGGTACTTAGCATCGTAAGTCTTCCCGGTGGCACAAGGAAATTCTCACACAAATTATTGAGAAATGTGTACAGTACTTCCACATCATCAAGGACTGCAACGGAGACACACTGTTTTATGCTAAACACTTGTGTAAGCCTGCAAAATTTGAGTTAAAGGCGTAGATTTTTCCCTTCTGTTTGTTAGCATTTCCGCGAAGGAACCGTTCACTTCCGAAGATGTCCGCACACTTCCGAAGACGTTTTTTAGAGTTTACGTAAACTTGTATGTCTTCAGTACTCTCCTCTCTTATTAAAAGCTCTCGGCAAAAGTTATTTGCGCCAACCTTTCTCTTCGTTTTGATTCAAGTACATTTGCTCTATATACTTTTTTCAAAAAGTCGCAGTTAAGGCCGCGTTACCTCAAGTTGTTCAGTTAGGTTTAAGGGTTAATAAAAGTATGAACTTGGGGCATGCACTCCTGTGATAAAACTGCATAAACGTATGAGAATTATTGGCGTCGGCTTTGTCAGGTGGGGCATTGCGCACTCATTCTCGAGATTTTTCTTCTCTTAGATCTAAATTCAAATTGCAGACTTAAAAACTTTCATTTTTTCTTAGGCCTGGTTAGTAAAGTCTTCCCCGCAGAAGAGCTCGTAGATGAAGCTATCAAGACAGCTGCAAAAATATCATCCTTGTCGAAGATTGCCGTACAGATCGCCAAAGAAGCTGTCAACACAGGTATTGCGCTGTCAGTTGTAACCGTCCGATTGACTGTTTCCTGTCATGAGTTATACCTCGATTATTCGCAAGATTTTATGTCAACTGAAGTCGGTGTTGATCTTGTCCATCGCTAGACGTTTCTTGTTGGTTTACCAGTCAACTTCAAAACAGTTACCTATCCTATTTGACTGTTCTACTGCGAAACTATCTTTTTTCTAGTTACCGAAATAGCCCAAAACATCATGACGTACTTCCATTCACAAGAGTAAAATTGATTGTTTCTAAGCCATCTTAATCTTAATCTTAATTGAAGCAAACTGAGAAAATGAGGTAGATTTTTGCGCAAGTTAAGCAGAGAAGAACTTGATCTCGCGTAGGGTTTTGTTGCCTCGGGATATAAATCATCATGACTGACCTGCTTGAGTCCAAAAGTTTAACAGTTTACAAGAAATGCATGCAAGAACAATTTATGGTCGTTGCATTCCCTTTGAAAGTTCCGTAGATGGTTGAATTTCCCAAATGTCTTTTTGTTTAGGCTACGAGATGTCACTGGCAGAAGGACTGCATTTTGAGAAAAGAATGTTTCACTCAACATTTTCAACAGTAAGTTAATATTGATCGGCTTTTACACTTGAAAGAAAACGGCAATTGCAATACAAAGTGGTAAAGCCACTTAACCATTTCCCGAAAACATATCACCTACTCTCTCTGATTTAGAGCAATACACTGAATACTTCACGTCTTCAGCGCAGCCGAAGAAAGTTTGGATTAAAATATTAAAATGTTCTTATGTTCCCGCTAAAAGCGTTGCTCCATCTTTCTGCATGTAAACTACACACAACCCACAATTCCTCTATTCGCTCTGACGAAAGGCTAACGCTAGGAACGTCAGCTTTAGAAAGTCTCTATGGTGGCTATTTTTACATTATCAACGCTTTTGATGTAAATAATATTTGTGATACCCCACCTGCCGCAACACCACAGTTTCTCTAGACACTAACCTCGTCTGTTCGATTGTTACCATGGTGATGAATAACAGTGTACTGAATTTGTATGGACTTGCGATGAAACTTTCCCGAAGGAAAAATTTCTCCTTTTCTTTTATTTCGCAGGACGATCGAAAGGAAGGGATGACAGCTTTTGTAGAGAAACGAAAAGCCGAATTCACGGACAATTAGTATCTGTTATTTTTCGGAAAGTCGTAGCTTTCGAGAACTTTGGATTGTTGTGTGGGATTGTTAGAGCAGGTGAAAGAATAATGAAAGCTTATATAAAATTGTGTGAAGGGCAATGAAAACACTCAGCATGAATTTTCACCAAAAAAAAAAAAACTTTACTGGCGAAATTGATAGAAAAAATAAAATAAATAAAGTAAAATCATAGTCATTTTTCGTTCGTTCGCTCATCTGTTGAACGGATACCGTGGGGTATACATTGGAACTGGGGCGAGTATAGATTTAAGTTCTGCACAGTTCGATATGTTAATAAGACTCGAGTCAGGAAAACTAACTGACGCCCCAGATGACGGCTCTTCAGTAAACTTTCTGGAAAATTAATCCAAGACAAACCTAGTTTTCGACTTGTTTCCTCTCTGTTCAATTTCCTTTCGTTTTGAATCAAATTCTTGGAAGAAATGGATTTTATTTGCTGTAAGGCACCTTGTTTAAATTGCCTTAAGGTTCAATGGCTATATGATAATTGTTTTTTCTTTTTCGGTCCAGGAGGTTTCCCAGCTAGCCTCGACCTTTTGTGCAGGGCATGATTTTCATGGTTTTCGTGAATTTTTTTGCGAAGTGCAAACTAAGCGTACTATTACACTTTCTCTGGAATGTTTGTATTCACGCTTGACGCACGTGATTCGACCAACTAGCCAATCATGTTTAGATCCTTGAACTTAACGTTGAGGTTGGCGTGGTCAATTTCCTTAGCACTAGTTCAACCTTTAATTAAGAAAGCAGTTGTGAAAATTTAATCGTTATGTACCTCTCAGCTCAAATAGGTTTTCTGATTGGAGGAGAACAAGTCGCGAGCCGTGAATCAAACCAACTTTCTAGGGTGAACAAAATTCACTAAGCCCCTTGGTAAACAACAACTTGAACTTTCGACTCTCACGGGATAAGGTCGTGCACCGTGAAACTGCAGCTAATGTGAGTGCCAGCATGCGTAAAAAAATAATATTTTAGCAGTCATAACACTTTTGAAAATTAAAATCAAAGTGACTGGCCCCATGGGAAACAGTGAGAATTGCTTTCCTTTGACCCGCAATGAAAACAAAACTCATTGTTTCCCCTACAGTCAGTTAGTCGCTTAATTTATCAACCTTGCCAGGTGTCTGTATTAGAATTGTCTGGAAGCGAGAGTAAACAATATTAGCAGGGTAGCTAGAGTGCAAAAGATGAGAAAATAATTAGAGCATCGAAAGAAATATGTTTCTTAGCATATTGGCTTCGGTTATCAGATTTAACTAACACGGGTGCAAAACAGGAACACACAAAAACATGTATGGTACAACAGATATACCAACACATTGTGAGTCATAAATGTACGAGTTAGAACGTGAGAAGGAATCCTGTCAATTTCATCACTGAAGAAAACTTTTAACCTTGAAATTACATCCTGTGGTTCTTTCAGTTTTCATTAGGCGAATTTAGCTTTGTTTGATGGGAAAAAGTTGCTCTGTATCCTGAATGCGACTAATTGAGAAAAGAAATCCGGATAATAAAAACAATCCGAGTAATCTAGGTTTGTTTCTAATTAAATGCCCCCACGCTTTACTCAAATGTAAAGAAACGCTAACCCCAAGTCGTGATCAGTACTTCGTGCAAAGTTGACTGATGCATAATTTATGTATGGGTTCTTAAGCTGTTTCTATTTTTTTCTTTTAATCATTGTCTCAAGTTTCATTAAAATTGTATAAAAAGTTGAAAAAAGAGTTTTTCGATACAAAAATACGAGAGGAGTGGAAGGAAACTGAAGGTAAGAATATACTGGTTTCAAGAAGATTGCTCTCTAAGTTTGATAACAACATAAATCTTGAATAGTCAGCCACTTCGATAAATATGTTTGAGTGAGAAGTATATATACAAAAGACCTTTACTACCGCATAAACGTGAGAAGAAAAGTCGAGGAAAAGTAAGAAAAGGAAGGTGAGTGTGAGTGAGAAACTCGATGTATTTACTTACTATCGGGTGAGTAACTTGTGCAAGGAGTAACCAAGTCATTCAATTTGGAGAAAATTGGTTAATTTAAACTTCAGAAGAAGACTGCTCTCTAACTTTGATAACAACATAAATCTTGAATAGTCAGCCACTTCGACAAATACGTTTGAGTGAGAAGTATATATACAAAAGACCTTTACTACTGCATAAACGTGAGAAGAAAAGTCGAGGAAAAGTAAGAAAAGGAAGGTGAGTGTGAGTGAGAAACTCGATGTATTTACTTACTATCGGGTGGGTAACTTGTGCAAGCCAGCGGACAAGAATTAATCCTTAACAGGAAAGATTCCTTTGTATGACTTGGTAGTTTAAAATAGCGCTCGTATTCTTTCGCTGAGTCAGACAAAGTGTAATTAGCAAAACCCTAAATTCACAATCAAAACTATTTGTTGTATCTAAGAAGGGAGAAGGGCAACATTTGTCATCTGTTTTTCTTTCTTTCTCAAATTACAGGATGACAGGACATCTAGTTGGTTTCCATTTCTGTCCCGTTCTGTTGAGCGGTGTTGCTTTGTTTCTTGTGGCTTTCAGTTCGTCTTTACACACTGGTTTGAGCAGGGACGCGGTTTTCGAGAGAGTTGAAGGTAACACGTGAATGTGTTATACCTCCCAACACAGTGATATTTTTTTTTCCGACGGGATGTGAATGTTTCAACTGCCATGAGCGAAAACTCGGATCGGATGACACAGATTTTGGCTGTGTCAATATAAACTTTACATGATCCCTCCCCCCACCCCCTAAATAAGGCTCTGTGACATTCTTACAATCCTGTAGTAAATTTCCATTCTTCCCCCTTTATACTTTGTTGGCCACAGCAGTTCGCCCTAAAAAAAATATAAGATCGCCCCAAAATCGGGTAAAAACAACGGGAACTTTCTACGCGCAACTCTCATATCTCTCAGGGCTTCTTCAATTTTACCTTTGTACGATATCAAGAATCAAGATGACTTCTTAAGACAGGGTAATTAACTACACACAAACTGTATTATTAAAGTATCCAAAATAAACTAAGTGATGAGAACATGAAACACGATTGTGTTGTTTTTCAAGGATTTGAGCTAATTGGTCACATCACCAAGACATTATATGCTGACGAAATAAGCTGTGGATTGAGATGCCTTCAAGATAAAAACTGCCAATCTTACAACAGCAAATCCGATGCTAATGATGCAAAGAAGGAATGTCAACTGAGTAATCAAACCAAAAAATCAAGTCCGGAAAACCTGAGGCGTAACCCACGTTCTACTTATTATCATGGAAGAGGTACTGTTGAGTAAAGTGCTTAACATTATGGAAAAGTTAGTGGAGGTGGGAGGGGGGGTATGAAGGGTCGGAGTATTTTGGTTGTCACAATAAAGTTTTCCTGATCCTTCCATAACGTTCCGAATTATTCTATCGATCTTCCTCATTGGCCGCCAATTTTCTTTAGTCCCACCTTTAAACTCTGTTAGCGACCACTGATCCCCTCTCCATTCCCTTTGAAAACAATGATATCCCCCCCAAGACCCTGCCACCCCTCCCACCCCCTTTTTCCAAGTCAAAAATGGTGACCTATTTCTTACTTCTAATTAGCGCTTTTCAGAGCTCTCTCGTGTCACGTGTACATCCATTTATAATCTTTCCCGAGAGAATATGAAGTTTAAAATCTCTTCCTTTTCCTTATAATGATAGATTTTCCATTTTCTTAGTTTAAATTTAAATTTCCAAAATCAAGAGCTACGCGAAAGGAACTACTTATGGAATAAGACCTCTGTGGCGTGTTTTGTTTCTTAGTTTGATCCTCTCCTCGTTCCAAATGATTATTCTTCCCTTTTCCTATGCAGATAAACGAGGTTGGGATTCTGCTCATCCGGCTTTCTCCTGTAAAGAAATTCTGGACTCTGGACACTCCAAAGGAGACGGGGAGTATTGGATCGACCCAGAGAAGAGTGGAAACCCTTTGAAGGTCTATTGTGACATGTCAAGATCTGGTGGTAAGGGAATGAATTGTTTTTTTGAGACACGAGGACTTCAACAGGAGTATATTTGACTTGGTAGAGTTGTTATTGGAACGTTCTGGTCTTGGCTATTCTTGCTTTCTCAACAAGATCCTTCTTATGTTTTGAATCAAAAGTATAGCAGAATTCTCAAAAATGATTGGTTATCATCAGCCGGCCGATTTGAGCACTAATAGGACAGTGTACGCGTTATACTTGTAATTGGACAGTGTAATAGGACCGTTAAAGGGACAGTTAACGCGTCATGCCTGTGTGAGTGGACAGAACGCGTCATGTGCGCGCTGTTGTCTCGCATTTCGCCGAGTAAACTGTTGTTTTTCGTTTTTTATGAAAAGGTATCAACCGATGTCTAGTTTCTTTCTCAAATTTTGTCATAGTTTTGACTAATTGGTAACAGGCCTTCTTGTCGTCTAATTCTGTCTGTAATGATACGAGTGATTAACAAATCGGACTCCCGCTTTGCGGTCGTACGATTCTGTAAATCACTCGTATGATTACAGACCGAATTGGACTCCACTCGGTCCTGTTACCATTTAATATGTCCAAAATTCTAGTTTCATGGATGTCACCAGATGATTTAGGTTTGTTTTATTTTAGGAGGTTGGCTTCTGGTGTCAAATGTTGAGTTCGGAAGTCCCTCTCCTAAGGTGTCAGTTGAGACATCATACCGTGGAATAGGTAAGTCACACATGGTTCTGCAGAAAAGTGCCATGAAAGAGCTCAGAAGACACTTGTCCTTCACTCAGCTGAGATTCCACTGCCGCAAGAAACAGGGACGCACATTCCACGTGGTCACAGCTTCCAACAGCTCAGGTGAAGCTGTGGTCCGGTACTTCAGCGGTCAGACAGATGAGCAACCGGACGCCTGTGGTTCGTTTGTGAGATTGACGGGGGATGACAATTCCAAGTTAGCTGGCATTTGCAAAGATTGGGGTAAACTAGCAGGTGGAGAGGCCCGGGTTGGAAAGTGGGGACATGGTGAAGATCAAAACAGGCTATACTGGTATCCCGTCTTAAAAAAAAACAAGTATCACCTTAGGGTCCAACTGCATAACGTTGACGTTCTCCAAAAAATGGAATGTGATGATAACCGTAACACTGTTGATACAAACGGCGATTTCTGGAGAGTCTTTGTTCGTTAGTTTCGTCTATATGTACACCAAGCAACCCTTGACTGTGCGAATAACAGTAACAAACGAATAAAGCAAAATAAAGACAAATGCACCGTTACACTCATCAGGTTATAAGAATTTTTTTGTTTCCATTTCGGGGCAAGCAATCCTCATTGTTTCCCGTGGGGCCAGTCATTTTAATTTTTATTTTTGAAAATATTTTCTCATACATCCCAAACCGAATATGACTGCCAAAAATCACTTTTTGTACGTAGGCTGGCACACACATTTGCCGCGGTTTCACGGTGAACAACCTTATCGCGCGAGAGTCGAAAGTTAAAGTTGTTGTCTCCTCGGGGGCTTAGTGAATTTTGTTCACCCTAGAAAGTTAGTGTATTTTGATTCACGGCGCGTGAAATATTCAACCATCCAATCAAAAAACCTATTTGAGTTGAGAGGTACATAACGATTAAATTTTCACAACTGCTTCCTTCTAAATAAAAGGTTGAACTAGTGACCACGTCAACCTCAATGTTAAGTTGAAGGACTCTAAACATGATTGGCTAGTTGATCGGATCGCGAGCGTCGCGCGTGAATACTAAAAATTCCAGAGGAAGAGGAAAGAACACTTTGCAGTTCGGAAAAAATTCACTACTGATACAAGAAAATTTCAACGACCTGTTTGATATGGCGGGAAGCCATTGAGAAAAACCATGCTTAGCACAAGAGGTCGAGGCTAGCTGGGAAATCTCCCGGACAATAAAAAAGTAATCATACAGATTTTGACCTTCAACCCCTCGGGGATTGGGGGAGGGTTTTTTTTCCACTTTTAGACATGACACGAGTTCACGAGTTTTTATACTGTAACCAATCACAATCGAAGAAATTTCAATTTCCAATGATTGAGGGGTTTATATCAAACATAATAACCGGGCATTATATATATTTACATATACATATATGTTCAGAGCTTCACACAAGTCAAGAACTATATTATGCTTTTAGCACCCATAAGCTCCTTTTCCTTCGGGTTTTCAGTCGACTCAAATCTCGATATCAGCAACGTCATGTGCCCCTTGGAAGAAAACGTTGCCGTTGTGGCGGACCAGGGTAGGTTATGTAAGGGCTCTTTTCATACCGCATGCAGTTTACAATTAGGAGGCTAAAATAATCGTCATTCCATACAGAGGGGGTTGTCCTACCATATCGAAGGTCTCTGTGTCAGGAAGTCCACTGAACTCAGACGATCAACAATCTCGCTAAGAGGTTGAGACTGGACATTGCATGTTTAAAGACCAGTGGTATCTATGTTCTCTCAGTGATACAATGCCGATGCCTCGCGTGCAGATTTGCTCGATTTCATGACAAAATACTATAAACGAATAATATGACACATGTTTGTTGTATTTAGCTAATTGTCGAAAGAGGATTGTCCGTTCATTTTTTTTAGTTTTTAATTTAATCCTTACCGGACTTACGCCTAACCATGATAGAAAATCTCCATTTTACTACCTCAAGATAAAATAAGAATCTGAAATAAAAGAAATGACAAAAATACATATAAAAT